CCCCCGTCCCTGCACCTGCTTGCAGGTGCTTTAATCCACTGAGCTATTTGGCCAGCCCCAGTGGTTTTTTTGTTTTTGTTTTTGCAGTACCAGAGATCAAACTTGGGACTCTGCACTTGCCAGACAGGTGTTTATGCCACTGAGCTATCTCCCCAACAAGAAGTTTTTTTAAAAAAATTAAGAGCAAAGAAGGAAAATGGGAACAAAGTATTCATGAATGGGGAAGGGCGAAAGGACTGAAGCAAGACAGAGAATAGGAAAAAATTATACATGTACATGATAAATGTGATCACTATGTACCTCCAAAATTATCAATAAATTATGACAAGAAAAAAAAGAAAGCAATAGATCAGGTCTCAGCAGCCACATGAATGGGTCCTGGTGAAAAGGCACGGCCACCACACAGGACCTTTTTCAGCCTCTGACGCACGAGCCCTCCTGACAACGTAAGGCGGGTGCTACAGCCACAGAACACCAGGCTGCGCCGTGTACAATCACACCCCCCCATCTGCAAAGAAGCTGGGGACAAGCCTTCGCAATCGGGCTTCCCCTCAGCTTCCGGCTCTGCCTTGGCAGCACCGTTCAGCTAAGGGTCTCCAGAATTTAGTCTGTCAACTGGTTGATTTGCTTATTGGGTTTTTTGTAGTTACTTGATATAAAAGGCCAGAAAACCAGAGGGCTTGTTTCTCCCTATATTGCTGAGCGTTAAACAGAACAGTCCTGTCCTATAGGAATATGGCAAGTCACTGAGCCACTCGTTTATGGCAATGAATAAAGGGAGCATGAAGGGTCTTTAAAGTCTCTCCAAGGGCCAGGGAGATGGCTCAGTGGAATAAGCGCTTCCCTGGCAAGCACAAGGGCCTGAGTTCAATCCCCGGTTCTGCAAAAAAAATAAAAATAAAGTCTCTCCAGGACTTGAGTTCATTCCTGTTTCTGCACAGAGGTGGTGAAACTAGAGCATCTTTGTGAAAGTGTTCCCACTCTGAACTTCAGTAAAAGCAGTTACTAAGACCGAGAATCACACCCAGGCCCTCTTCAGCAGTCACACAGTAAAGTCACTTACCCCAATCCAATGGCTAGTAGATGAGACAGCAGCAGAGATGGAAGAAAGACCTTGAGAAATTCTGCTGAGAAAATGCCCCCTTTCTTCATGACACTCGTGTTTCTCATGCTGAGTGTAGCTGTGCGCTTTGGGTGCTTGAACAGGAACTCCCTGGGGGAGGAAGGCGTCAGTGTCACCGCGTCCCCTGCCAGGCCAAGAACCAGGACACTGGGGACAGACTTACTTTGGGGGAATGTTTTCTGGCCGACTTGACCAATCCCATATCCAATCTGAGTTTTTCTTCAAGATGCTTTCAACTTCTTTCCTTCTCTCAATATAATCCTCCTCGGACTAAAATACAAAAGAACAAATGAGCCCATCATGCTCAGGCCAGAAGGCGCATGCTCAGCACCCAGAACGTGGAGCCCGGGCACAAGTCCAGAGCCTTAGACTGCGGTCCGAGGGTGTCGGGAACAGGCGGCTGGAGCTGCACACCCATCACGCCCAGGCCTCTGGCATGCTCCCGAGAGACAGGCGCTTCCTGGGCACTCGTGCCCAGTCTCAATGCTGGGTTCACCTGCGAGAGTCTAGGAGGACTAAGAACCGCACAAACACTGTTCAAAAGAAATAATGTGACGTGGAGACAAAGACAGTGACTAAAAAAAAAAAGTGACTACTGCACTCATTGCAAGAGAACAAAATGAAAACAATTCAAAATGGTTTACACAGGGCCAGGGAGATAGCTCAGTAGAATAAGCGCTTGCCTGGCAAGCACAAGGGCCTGAGT